AAACATGAAGGAAAAGAGTAAATAAATAGTTATCTTGTTTTAAACAAGTGGTTCTTTTCCACAATCTAGGAATAAGTATCATAGCTCATACCAAGGTATAACTTTGCTCACGCTAGTGGTCTAAGGTGGTAATCTTCCCTTAAAAATGGTGCTGGGTACAGACATCCACATGCAGTGGGGACAGGGCACCAATATGACCTTCCAATACTGTGTGATTCTGGCTGAACCTGACCTCCCACCACATGAACTGGGTCCATGTTCACCGCTCAAGCCCCTCAGGACTCCCTCCAGTTGCTCTCAAAGAACCAGGTGTATGCCATGGATGTCCTTCCCACATCCACCCTGAGAACTTCACAGTGTTGAGTGTGGCTTGAAGCCAAGAGGCTGTGCTGGGACTCGGGTTCAAATGCTGAGCCCTTCCCTACAATTGCATCTACAGCAGCTCTTATTTCACAACTGTGGCAGGCTATGGAAGAGGTTACTCACCTACTGTTAAGTGTGGAAGGCCACTTTGGGAGCTGTCTCCCACATTCTCCTCGCAGGTTTCAACTGAAGCAGATTCTTTCAGTCTTGGGTGGTTCTCTCTTCTTTGAAGAATGTTCTGTGATTGTCTTGGAATAGTGTTCTTCAGGTTGGAATCTTCAAAGCAGAGATCAGACCTGGCCACCATGCTGTGTTTGATTAATCCATCTCAGTGTCTCTTTCCTTTTAAGATAGATTCTCTTCCTCTCCATATTTGTTGTTGATGTTCTCCGAGTTCCCTTGGACATGGTTCCTCCTCTATTCAGACATGGAGTCATCTGGATTATTCCTCCACATGGATCTTTCCTCAGCTTCTATGATGTGACTCTTCTTCTAATAGCTAAAATAAACCTCCTGTACCAGATTTTTGCCTTGTCCAAAAGCAGGCTCATTGTTTGCCTGGCACTTCTGCTGTCTCATGAATAGGGGAAATAATTTTATAGAGGTTTTTGTTGTTACTAAGAAGCACCTTTTTCTTTCAGCTTGAAAACTTCCTTTTTATCTTTTAAGACAGTTCTATGGTAATGAACTTCATAATTTTTCTGTGTGAGTCTTCATCTCTTCCTTCTTTTTGAGGGATAGCTTTGCTAGATGCAGTAATCTTGTTGGCAAGATACAGTCCTTCAGCATCTTTTCTCCTGGTTTGGAGGGTTTCTATTGATATATCATCTGTATCTTTTAGGAACTCCCTTATTTCTATTTTCATTCTTTTCTCTTGCTGTGTTCAGTATTCTCTGATTGTCTTTGATTTTTGGCAGCTTGATTATAATATATTTTGGTGTAGTCTTACTTAGATTGAACTTGATTGGAGACCTTTCAGCTTTTTGTTCTCAATTATTTATATCTGTTCTCTGAGTTGAACAATTTTAAGCTATCTCATTAAATGAGCTTTCTATTCCTTTGCTTTGGCTCTATAATTCCCATAATTTGAGTAATTGCTCTTTTGAGTCTGTAAAGATAAACGCATAGCTTTTCTTCCATCATTTTCATTTTTACTTTATTTTACTCCTCCGTATATTTTCAAAAACTTTATTTTACTCCTCCGTATATTTTACTCAGGTTTGGAAGTTCTTTCTTCTGCTTAATCATTTCTACTCGTTTCTCCCTATTGAATTCTTAATTTCACTTGCAGTTTTGGGGTCAAGATTTCCCTTTTTAAAAATTAATTTCAATCTCTATTAAATTTCTCATCCTGTTTGATTCATTTATTGTAGGGGCCGGTATTCTTGATTTCTTTAAATTCTTTCTGCATTTTCTTAAAGTTCAATTATCTTTAAAAAATCATTACTTTGAATTTTTTCTGAAAGTTATATAAATAGCCAACAGACAGTATCATGAGCTATCAGGGATATGCATATAAAAATATAATAAGATAACATCTCATGCCAGCAAAATGGCAATTATCAAAAGACAAGACAAAAGAATGACAAATACTGGCAAGGATGGTAGAAAAAGAGCCAATTATAAGTTGCTGTTGGGAATGTAAATTAGAATTCTCATTATGTAGGACAGCATGGAGGATCCTCAGAAAAACTAAAAAAATACAGTTATCATACAGGATTCAGCTATCCCATACTGAAAATATAGCCAAAGGAAATAAAATTACCCATGAGAAAGGACATACCTGCACACCCATGGTTATTGTGGTACTATACATAGTAGCCAAATGTATAAGATCAACCTACATGACCATGAATGAATGGGTTAGTAAAGTACAACATGTATACATAGAATAGTATTTAGCTTTAAAGAAAAAAGAAACCCCACCATTTGTAGCACAATGGATGGACCTAGACGACTTTATGTTAATTGAAATATGCTGGCCATGGAATAAAGTATTACATGTTTCCTCTCATATGTGAGAGCTAAAAATGGTTGATCTGAATTTGTGATTGATCAGAATAGTGAATGTTAGAGGCTGGGAAGTGAGGAGAAAGAAAAGGGAGGGTAGGTGACTGGTGCCAAAGCACAGTTGGGTAAATGGAATCAGCTGTGGTGTTCTGTACCACAGTGGGATAACTACAGTTCACAGTAATGTACTCATATATTTTATGAGGCCCTAGACAAGAGGAATTCAAAGACTACACATAAACAATATGGAGAGGGAAATGCTAATTACCCTGCTTTAATCTATGTATGCTATAGGTATGTGTGGACCTGTCACACAGTACCACATTAATATATACAATTATTACATCTTAGTTAAAAATTTAAAATCTTCTCTTTCCCTTTCTCTCTCTGCCCTCCTCCCTCCCTCTCCTTCTTCCTCTTGCTCTCCTTTTCCCTCTCTGAAAATCCTGAGACAGTGGCTTTTAAGGGCCTATGGAGTAAGCATCCAACACATCCAGCAGTCACCTTTAAGTAGCCTGAGCAGACTCCTCCCATTTTTCCAGTCAGCCATGATTAGCTCACAGGCCTTTCTCCTGTTGCCTCCTACATCATGGTTCAAAAATGGACTCTCTTCTAGTGTCTGTTTCAGTCAGGAAAGGTGGAGGAAACAAGAATTCTTAGTGCCTGAATTAGGAAAACAAAACCTTTGCCAGGAAATTCCATAGGTGTTTTTAGGTTGTATTTGCCAGAAAAACTGTGTCATTTGAATACTGCTATTTGAAGAGACATTGAGAAATCACAAGTAGCCCTTTACAAGCCTCAAGAGTCAAAGCTTTTGTGTCTTCAGTGACTTTTCCAAAGACAGTGGTTTGCATGTATTAATCTTCATTCTTCCAAATAACTCCAACTGGAACTGGACTCCAGGAATATAGTGTTGCCAAAGAACTGAGCTTTGGAATGTAGTTAACATTGGATCCTTGCTCTAGCACCTGCCGGCTGTATCCATGGATACAGTCATCATTTCTCTTCAAAAAGGTTTTTTGTTAATTTTCTTGCTTGTTTTTAGGAAGAAATCTCTTTGATTTGTGCCTACCAAGTCTGTGAAGGCTGCATTTGCCTGTGACTGCTAACAGTGAGGTAAGCCCACCTCTGGCACCTGTGTGTGCTGGCTAAAGTTGCTCTACACAAGTAGATATGTGCTATCATTTTGTTTCCTCTCTCTGTGAAATAAAATGGCTACTTCAGTGGACACTTGTGAGGACTCTAAAACAGAAGCAAATTAAAAATTTAAAATATCCATAGAAATGTACAATTTTCAGTGAACAATTAATTGGAAGACAGCCTTGAAAATGGAGTCATAAGAATTTTAACCCCCAAACACCTTTAAATCTCAGTGTCAAGACACTTTGCCTAAGCTGCTTCTCTGTAAAAACCACTTCAAAATAATGCCCCTGACCAAACTACAGCTTTGTTTAAGTTATCTATTTATTTATTTTTTTAGAATTATGCAATACCTTGTATTTGACTCATGCTGACTACGCCCTGTTGAAATATCACCAAAGTAGGAGTTAGAATTATTTTACTCAATAACTCTATTTCCAGGTGAGTTAATGTGAGATTATGAATACAAGCAAATAAAGTGGTGAAAAATATGGACCTATGACACTTTTAAAAGTTCCTTGTACATTTAGATGATTTATTTAATGGGCATGCCTATTACATCAAACTGTTGATTTTTTAAAGTTAAATTAGGAGGTGATTAAATTAGAAATCACCTCTTACCAAATGCAGCTAACATAGATCATAGTAAAAAATATGAGCATATAATTTTTGCTAGCAAAATATTTTTTCTGAAATTGTGGAGTTATGCAAGTATTTGCTTTTCTTTTTTTCCTCTTTTCAATATCTGTACATGTAGAATATAATTTCAAAATAATATTTGGTTAAGTGGTTATAATCAATGTCACAGAGAAGTAAAAGGAAAATCTAACAGAGAAAGTGTGATGTACCTTTAAGAAATTAATGTACAAGCTTTTTTTGTTGAGAATTTTAATGCTTTTCCTAGGATTCAGATTAAAAGTCATCAGTTTTTTCTCTCTTGCTAACGGTGTATTCACCAATTTTATTTCTGAAGGATATACCACATGCAGACTGTATTATTTAACTATAATCTCATTTAGATTTGAAGGTTATGTGACAAATATTCATGCTGGAAAACTCTGGGCTATAAGAAGATAAGTGATCTATATTCTTGTTAATTTTTAGTGTAATGGCTATAATTCAATCTATGATAAAGGCAATGCTGCAACTATAGGATAACTTCAGTGTACAGGGTGATTTGAGCATAAAAGAGAAAATATCAGTAAGAAGGCCAAGGACAGAAAGATGAGGTAAAGAAAGAAAGATAGAAAAAAAGAAAGAGAGATGGGGTGGGTGATGAACAAGAGCTGAAAAAGGAAATTCCATGGAGGTACCTGGAAAGGGCGGAGCTAGAACCACTGACTTCAGAGCTGAGTGATAGCCCAAAAGATATAAAAGCCTGGTTGGGCCAGGTAGAGACAGCAACCTGAAGCCCAGAGCAGACACACAGGTGCAGTCTAGCAGGGGCCTGCAGAGGCACTCTCTGAAGCCACAGATAGGAGTCCAGGATGCTGCGCCTCTTCTCTGTCCAGCTCCTAGGAGTCTGGCTGCTGCTGAGCCACGTTTCTGGGAGGGTACCTCCTGGATGGTTGGACCAAGTTATTAAGCTATGTGGACGAGAATTAGTCCGAGCCAGGATAGAGATCTGTGGCAAGGTCTCATTGGGAGCCAGAGATTTGGACCAAGAGGAAGTACGTGCTCTGGGATCTGGACCATTCACAGGTAAGAGCGATGCCCACTGCCTCTCCATCCCCGCAGGTCCACACTTTCCATTGGTTGCCTCAGGCTGCCTGCCAACCAATCAGAACAGGGACTCGCGCAGCAGGCACAGCAAAGCATCTCCTCTTAGAAGCACACGGTATTTCTTCCTCCAGGTCAGCGATGTCTGAACAAGGCTGAAGCCCAAGAAGAGGTGATGCTGCTGGGAGCACTCCTAGGTTGGTGGGAAAAGCTGAGTAGCCCAGATAGCTGGTGTGGAGGCAACCGAGTACCTGGATGGGGTATCTCCAGTTGAGTGGAAAGTGGGTAAAAAGTGAGGTCATGAGCTGGGTATTAAGCCTATGTGTGTGCTCAAGGGCATGCTGCAGCATGGAGAGCTCTATGAGGTTCTAGGATGGGAGACAGAAAGCTCTTCTACTCCTCAGAGACCCCCAGTCGCCTCTCCACGCACCCTGTTTAAATGCACCTCCCACTTCTTGGGTGAATTGGGTTTTTTTTGTTCACCTGAAGGGTCAAGTTGGGAGTGGGGTGGGGGTCAGGTGGGGAAAAGGGAAGAGAAACAAGTGACAGGAGAACTGAAAACTGAAGAGAATCAGAAAGAAGGGACCTTGCCCGGAGGGCCAAAGGTCTTGCAGAAGACCTTTCTAGTTCTGAAAGCTTCGTTGATACTTTCAAGTTTTGGGAACTGCAGTAGATATATTTTTAAAGCAAGACCTCAGAATTGACCACAGCTCAAATCTGGAATGGCTTTAGAAATATTTTTGTTAGTTACAAAGCATTTATAATGATAATTTGGAAGAAAATTTGAGTGGCAGTGAAAATAAAATGTATGGGCTAGTATAATCAATTTACGGAAATGTTAAATTCATAAAAGGCAAGGTCAATCACTGATAATTAAGTCATTCATATCACATACATATGACTTGCTAAACCACAACTATGTTTTATAGGATATATACTACACATACGTGGCACTCACGCAGAGTTATTTTGCACAACATATCCATTTCCTTCTCTCATAACATTTAAAGTGAGATTTTAAAGTTATTTGTTTTTCTTCAGTGTCAGAAATTGATTTATTAATGCCTGTCTTTACATAATTCTTACATAAACTTAGTAGAATAGCAGTCTAGGAATTTACTAACAGACTAGATAAGACTAGATTGCACTACATGTGCTACTCATAGGAAAGGAAAATATACACAAAAAAGAAAAATAGGAAGCATCAATATATATTAAACACTTCGAAAAATATGTGTGAATATAATGAGAAAATGAAAACATATTAAATAACAAGTATTAACATTTGAATATAACTATGTGTATCTTTGGCATTTTCACTGTGAATTACGCTGGGAGCAATTTTTCACCATTTTATTCTCCAAAGCCTAATTGTCACATAACCTCGTGTGCTACATAATGACAGTTAGATCAGTGAAAGACTGCAACTACAATGGTCTCCTCAGTTTATACTGAGCTGAAATTTCCTATCACTCACTGAGATAGGTACAGTAAAGTCAAAGTAAAAACGTGTGGTACTGCTGAGGCATATAAACCTACCTCAGTACCAGTGGTATAAAAAGAGACAATATATCCTTGATAACAATAACCAGCACATAATTGATAACAATGATAAATAACTATTACTGGTTTTTATATTTACTATACTCTGTTATTCTAGGATGTACTTTTTAAAGTATACTGTAAAGTAGGATGCTGTGTTATGTTTGCAGTAACCTCATGTGTCTCTTGTTTACCACAACTCTTGACTGCTTGAAGAGAACTCTACTGTCTAGAACTATGTAAATATACACTATGGAGTTTTCACAGTGACAAAATAAAGAAACAGCACATTTCTCAGAACATTTGCCCTTCTTTAAGTGACACATGACTGTATGTTGAAACATTGTTAGACAGTTATATTATTTCCAAATTGTTGTTGAAAATGGTTTGCTGAACATATCCAGGTGCAGATAATTTGGCCAAATTTCTACTTCCTTAGATTAATTTTTAAACTATTTTGAAATAATTTTCTTTATTGCTACCTAATATATAATTTAATTGGAAATAGCCTAACAAAATATTGCTTGCATGTATGGATATACTAGAAGTATATGTCAATAATGTGACTCAAATGAGGCTTGACACTTCTGTTATGCAGCATTAAATTTGCATATACATTATTAAACTATTAGTTAACCATTTTACCTCTGCACTATTCCAATGTATCACTTACTCTAGCCTTTATTTATTTTTAATGTATTTGGTACAGGGTCTCACTATGCAGCTCAGACTTGCAGTGATCCTCTGTTTTTAGCCTCAATAGTGCTGGGATTGCAGGCATATACCAACATGCCCTGTCTCAGTGGCCAACTCAATGTATCTGGGGGTGGGGCTGGCATGGCATGTGGTGCTGGGAATTGAACCCTGGTCTGCTGAGCTACCTGGACAGCCTGATAAAGGGATAGTTTTATCTCATTTGTGGTTAACCAAGCGGCTACTTTCTTCACTTAGACTACTAAAGCTTCCAGCATGTTTGAATTATTTCAAGAGTAACAATGCTTAATTAATAAGTGGAAGGACAGTTTTGCTGTCCATGAAAAAGTGTAGCAAAAACTGATTCAGGTTTACTCTATAATTTAAATTTCATCTGTGTTTCTAATTTCTTTATGTGCTAACTGAAATTCTGTTAACTGGGAAAGGTAAGGCTAGGAGACAGTTTATAACTGACAAGTTTTCTGAGGGCAGCAAGTTTTTATTTCAGTCTCCTAGACAGCACTGCCAGACACATCGAAACAGTCAGTGAAGGTTCAGCTAAACTGTGCGAAGAACAAAGATGTCAGCTGATTCCAGCAGATCCCAAACCCAGTTTTTTTTTTT